ATTGCTTTCTGTATGCCACAGGTTTTAAACATATCACTTCATTTTTCAGTCATGTTACAAAGCATTAAAAAGTTTCATTTTCTGTGACAGAATGGAGGACAGTTCCCTTCCACTTCAGTCTCCATGATAATACACATTTAAAGAAATATTTGAATCTGAAGAATTAACAAGAATGAAGAAGGCTGGGTGTATTCCATACTTGCAAGACTGAGTTGGACTGCATCAGATCAGACCTGGAAGGAAAGAGGGAAACAGCTACCTTGTCTCAATGTTACCTAGAAATATGCCTGCAACCATATCAGAGCATCTAGAGAAATAAAGTGTGCACGTTTCATTTCACCACATTGCTTCTCCAAACAGTAAACTGTTGCAATTTGGACAATGTCCCAATCTTTTCACAGAAAGCTCTCCATTCATCTGCTTGAGGCAGACTGCAGTCCAGCAGGTTTGTGGAGCATGACAAAAACTAGTGGCCTAGATATTAAGACCACTAACAATACACAGTCTGAAATGTTAGGAATGTCCATACCTGATAAAGCTGCAGCTGTTCTTTCATTTCCTCCAAGTGTTTATCATACTCAGTGACTAGAGTTGACACGCTATAAAGTTGAAAAACATGCTTAGGATAAGTTTTGTAAATGTTGAAACATTCTGATAATTGACTATTTTTAAAGAATTCTTAATCTAGAGACCAGAACGGAACAGTCACTTTTCTTGAGTTCCAAGCTTGACATTCCCCAGAATCTAATGAACAAATTTAATTACTACTTTTAAACTATGATCATTAACAGCATGAGTTCTGTATAACAGAACTAGAACATGGGACACTATAAATGACCATTAATACAACAGTAACATTTCATACATAGAATTCCAAATGTTAAAAGACTAGACTTTATTGCTGTTTTCACATACAACAGTAAGGTAGCCTATAAGACAATGTAAAATACTGTAATTCTACTTCTATACTTTTTCCTTCCTAATATTTTCATAATTGAAAGTAATTCTCTGAAAATTCTATATTTGTCTAGAGTAATAATGCCTTAAAAGCTAACAAGAAAGGCTAGGTTATTTTTGTAACATGAAATTACAGTGATTATGAAACCATTTCCTGATGGGCAACTGTTAGTGTAAGACTGTCAAATAAACATTTTTAAAAACATCCACCTGACCTCAACAGACAGCAGTTACCTGGGTTACCTGGATCAGTGCAATCCTACCAGAACTTTTGTTTATTATCTTTAGATTCAGAGTAGAGAATTCCTTCATTCATCTCTCATCCTTTATGTTCAAGATTGTGGAAGCAAAGTCAGTAATTTAATTTCCTGAATAAATACACTACTATCTAAACACAACTGCTACAGTAACACCTCTACAGACTCCATTCATAAGTTCTCAGACCTTTGAACACTTGTACATAAGACTCAGTTTACCTGGATATTTACACTTCTATGAGCATTCAAATCCATTGTAGCACTCCAACTTATCACTTGAAATCAGTTACCTTTGGTTCCTTTGGTCCATCACCCTGGATTCTAATAGGTCATCACCACCAAGGGCATTTTTCTGTAATGGAATTATTCGCATATTAGTACTTGCACATAACTGTATGTAGTTTTAAACTTTTATATGTAACCCAAAACTGTCTGTACTGTAATTGTACACAATATCTTACAGAATCACTTTCAGGTTTACGTTTAAAACCCCTAGTGTTCTGGCCCAATATGTAAAAATACTATTTTTTTTTTCCTGGAGTTATCTGATATAAAGCATAATTGCATCTGAAGGGGAACCACCTCAATCTTAAAAGAACAATCATAAGTTTGTCTAAGTGCTAAGTCCATTTCCATGCACCTTAGCACCAGGAATGTGCTGATGCCCTAAATTCTGAACAGACTTTCAGACAGGCTTATGGTACCCAGCACAAAAAGTTACCTCAGCATGAGACCAATCTATTAGAAAAGAGAAGTCTATAAAAATAAAAAAGTTACAAATCAAATGTCCTTTCAGGGATAAAACTTTTGAAAATGCACCAAAAATACCATAATTCACTGTTAGGACAGTTTTGTTCTGCTGTTTCTCCTTGGAAAAACAATAAGCAACTTGAGTTGTGTGACAGACCCAAAGCAGGGCCAGGGCATGTTGAAGTGAGCTGTGCTCTATGTTGTTTGTTGCAAAACCTCATTGCAAAAATTCTTACTACTTCCATTCCTGAGTTCATATACCTGCTCAGCAATAACTCTTAAAATAAATCTCATCTGCTTCATAGTGTCTACGTGCCATATTTGGCCTCAGATTTAAAAAATACCAAGTTTGAGAATCATGGTTACAACATCACACATTATTACATAAATGTGACTGCCAGTCAGAAATATGTTTAACAGTACAGTGCTTTGAGAGCAAAAAAAATGTTTCTAAAATTCTTCTATTTAGCACAATTGTTTAAAAGAAAATAGGATTTGAAAAAGCCTACAGAGACTGTAATAATAATGAATTCCATTCCTTTCATATTCCTTCTGTTTTAAGAAATTCTAAAAAATGAAGTTTCTGCCTAGAAAACACACAAACACATACATATCTTCATGATTTGCAAGGTCTAAGGGCAACAAATCGCATTGTGTATCAGATTCAATTAGCTGGATTCTGGGTTTGTCTAGTTTGAAGGAAAGGAGGCTGAAGAGCAACCTCACTGCTTTCCACTGCTTCCTGAGGAGAGGAAATGCAGAGGGAGGTGCTGAGCTCTTCTCCCTGGTATCCAGTGATACGGTGCCTGGGAGCAGTTCAAAGCTGTGCCAGGGAAGGTTTAGACTGGACATTAGGAAGCATTTCTTTCCTGAGACGGTGGCCAAACACGGGAACAAACTCTCTAGAGAGGAGGTTGAGACCCTAAAACTCTCAATGTTTAAGAGGCATTTGGACACTACACTAAAGAACATGCTTTAACTTTTGGCCAGACCTGAACTGGTCAGGCAGTTCAACTAGGTGATAGTTGTAGGTTTCTTCCAAATGAAATATTTTATTCTATTTTGTAAGAATCTGAGTAACACCTTTGTAACTGGAATGGGGAATGAAGAATGATTTACACAACTTCTTGACTATTTCTCTTGATATATATCCCACGGTTCTTTTTCTAGTTCTAATCTTCTAAAGGGGGGTATAGGAAAAAGATAGAGGCAATAGAAAGGAGGTAACAGTAAAAGAATGTAAGGAACAGGAAGGGGAAAGTTGCTGCCCTTACCTGCCAAAGTATGTAAACATAAGAGGCCATAGGTGCAAAAGGGGGCAAATTTTATACATCCCTTATAGAAGCTCATCTTCAACCCTGAATCATTAAATATATTCTGGTAAAAGTTCCAGTGCATCACAATAATATGTAATATAATGGAGGACTATTATTTTTAGTTTTGGATGCTAATATTTCAAAAAGCATTCAGGTAAAACCCAGCTTTTAAACTGATCAGTGCCAGAGACTAGAATTTCACTCCAAGAACCTTCTTTACAGGTACATATTTAACACAACATATACTTATTCTAAAACATCAAATACAGTACAGCTTAGAGAATCTCTTTTTAGGTGTATTACACACATTCAGTGTTTTAGAACTTTTATTTTACATTCATGAAATAAGAGAAATATCAATCCATATATCAGACTCCGAGTAGGCCTCAAACAACTTTGGGCTCAGCTGGTATACAGGACAACATCAAATTTGTCTTTTGGCACCCATAAAAATGTATAAATATTATTTTTAAGAGAGAATAAAGTTCTTTGATAGGAAAGGCAACTCTTACCACTTCACAGTTCATTTAGTCTGAGTTGTATTTAGAGCCTAAAGATTTATAAAATAAGAGGGTAGAGCCAGAAAAAGTAAATAAATATGAAAAGGCAAAATTCCAAATGTTTGAAAAACTATGATTTCGTCACGTAACAGCATAATGAACACTCCCGCAAAGTTCAATAAACATACAGATTTTTGAACCAGAATGACTCTTGGTTCAAACAGAAACTTTTCTGCTACTGAGGTCTTTGGAATCAAGAACTGGTCTTTCATCTTTGGCCACCTAAAGCCATCACAAGAAACTTGGTACCAATTCAGATTCTAAGGTTTGAGTAATGCACAGCTAATAGCACTTCATGTACTGTGACCTTGTCTTACTACTGTCCTATAAAGTTTTCCTGTGACACTAATTAGGGACAGTGACAGTTCTTCGGACAACACATCCACCCATTTCCTATCTACAGGAATATAAGCTGTGCAGAAGCAACTTCTTTTTGCCAGTATTTTGCTAAGGTGTAGTCTGATTGTCATGTTAAGAAATATTAAAACTATCAAAATTGTATCGTGTAACTAAAAATACTGATTTTAGTCTGTAAAGCAAATTTCGTAAGTAAACGGCAAGAGCGCTTTTTCTACCTCTGAGGTGTAAGCCAAGCATAGGAAATGCCGTGGTTTCATAACTAACGAGGCATTGACACAGAAACGCATGTGGTTTTGGCTACTACCGTAATTAGCAGCTTTTAATTACTAGTGTTTAGTTAACTAAAACTATTATTCACGCTGTTACTTGATGAAGAATATAAATTTTCATTGCCACCAACGCTCACCTGGCTGTGCCCGCGTTCCCACCGCAGAGTTCCCCTCGTCAAACACCCGGGGAAAAGTCACTTATTCCAGCCGCTCGCGAGCAGGGAAGGCGAGAGCCGTTCTGGATGGGTGGAGGCGGCAACTCGCGGGCGCCGGGACCGGCTCCCCTCACCCAGGGACGCGCTCGGGCGGGACCGGAGAGTGGAGCTGTCCCTCCGCTCCCTACCGTCAGCTCCGGGAGGAAAACAGCCCCAGTGCCACCACAGCCACCTCCATACCCGACGGCGGAGCCTCACAACGGAACAGGACAACTCCCGTCCGCCAGCGCCTCCGCTCCGCCCTCAGCGACGGCCTCGGTCACGTGGAGCCCAGATAGGGCGGGGCTCTACGGCTGTGGGGGAGAGTGGTGGTAGGGGCTTTCGGTTTCCATGTGAAGCCGGGCTTCTTTTCGGGAGCCGCAGCGGCGGGGTGTCTGAAGGTGTAAGAAATCCCTCGTTAAAACTTCGCTTGAGGAGTTTTTGGGTTAAAGGTGGGCGCTCAGGATTTAAACTCCCCTTCGGGAAATTAGTTTGTGGCTAGAATAGCAGAGGCGGGAACCGAAAGCGGGAGCGACGTGGAGCCCGCTCCACCTGTTGGAGGTTGTAGCCAAGTGGGGATCGGCCTCTTCTCCCAGGCAGTCAGCGAGTGGACGAGAGGGCACAGTCTTAAGCTACACTAGGGATGGCAGTCCCAGAATCAATTAGGTTGGAAAAGACCTCTGAGATCGAGTCTAACCTATGAGCAAACCACCACCATGTCAACTAGACCATGGCACTAAGTGCCACATCCATTTCCTTAAAAACCTCCAGGAAGAGTTGTCCAACCTAATTGATTCTGTGATTCAAGTAATGAAATCTTAAATACTGTAAAAGCTGCTGTCTCTGACTCAGTTTCCAACTTTCCCCCTGGAAGCAACTAATAAACAGAGTGTTTATTCCTTCCTGCTTGTTTCTACCCTTTTTGCCGTCAGTTTTGGATGGAAGAGGCAAATCCCCTTGGTAAGGTGAAACGGGAGGCAATGACAGTACCTGTCTCCTTGCTGGTGAGATGTAAAGCTGCTGTGACCAAGGTCTGTGATTCCCAAGAAAATGGGTATCTGAGTAGAGATAAAGTAACCCAATCTAGTGCTTCCAACTGAAAGGAATGTGGTTACAATTTAGCTACAGAGCCAGCACCTCTCTAGTCACAGGATTTGACAGCATGTGCATAATTCTCAGTCAGGCTACGCACTGCCAGTTCTCTCCTATGGCTGGGAGATGAGAAAGGAAACAAGTCAAGGATACTTTTTGTAGAGATGGGCATGAACTTGTAATACTGAGAAGGGTAGGAGTAACAGGCCATAAAATGGTTGTAAACTGGGTACCACTGGTTCTTTTGCTTATTAGATAGATTGAGGCTATTCTTAAGGCTTGTACAGTTATTTCTAAGTAACATCAGCTGTTCATTGCAGTATCCTCTATTCTGACTGCTCTGCAAACATTCAGTGTGTTTAACAAGATGTGCTTGCAGTTTTCTGTGAAATCCCTTAGTTTGTCTGGTTTGCAATGACCGCAAAGAAAAGCTTTAGCTAATTGCTTCATTTTCTTGTATCTCGAACATTCGTTAAAGGTTTTTCTCAATCTATTTTTCTTGTGTTACCAAATCTTCTAAGACCATGAGATGGAGATTGTTTTGTTTATCTGTTCTCTTGATAAATATTTCTAGTGGGTTTGGAAGGTTTAGATGCTTGATTGAAAAGCCTTAAGCCTGATAAGACTTCAGAGTGATTTGTAACCCTGCAGGTATAAAAACCTATGAGAAGCAGCCTTCATGTAACTTTTTATTTAGTGGTTTTACAAAGCTAATCTGTTTCAGTTTTGATGTCAAAAATATTATTTTTTTGCTTTATACGAAAGCATATCTTTTTTTCCTGGGTAAGCATGAAATCTGAGATCTTCTTTGACAGAACTTTCTTGTCTCATTTATGTAGTATATGGAATTTAGAATTAAACACAGATGGGATGGTTTGCCTGTGAGCCATAACCTGGTTATGATTCGGCTGAGGCCAGACAATGCAGGACTGCTAATGGAAGTTCATGGTCCCTTCTGTAATGACCCTCAAGCACCACTTGGAGAGCCAGGGAAACCTTTCGATAGGCTGTGGGACTATGAAGGTAAATGTAACTGTTCTGCTGCAAATAGATCTGATTTCTGTGGACACTGATGTTTCTCTGAAGTTAATATGCCTAGTCTTTATTTAACAGTCATTAATGGTTGTTTTTTCAAACTGATCTAACAGTTGTGTCTGTATGATATCTAATCCAGTTTCTTTGGTCACAGTACTGCTTTTACAGGTCAGACCTAAAATGTAAAGTAAAAATTTTCCTTTCTGCTATATCCTGAGGAGTCTGTGAAAGAATACTGGGAAAGAATGCAGTTGTAATCATCGCCCTACCCTTAAACAGCTCCGCAAGTAACTATAAGCCTCCTGCTATATTCAGATGAAAACTACTCCAGATTGACTCAGGAGTGATGCTCTTTTTGTAGGTAGGGAATTGATTTTCATCACTGGCACTGCTAACCATGAGTTGTAGGTCTGTAGTAGTGCAACAATTCAGACAACTGGGAAAAGAAGCGAGTGTATTGGGTCACTCATTGAGCTGAATTGACTTCAGTGATGTTCAGGTTGACTCTTCCTGATCTTGTCAATAGTATATGCACTCAAACTTAGTTTTTGGGTAACTGATATAACTTGTGGTCTATCAGAGGATTGACATATTTGAATATCAAAATAGTTTTGTGGCATATATCTATAAATTCCTTTGCAGGAACTAAGTAGAAGTGAAATCCTAAAGATAGATTCTACTTCTACTTTAAGAAGTAAAGTGTTTTAATTGCTTTTCCAAAGTTTCTTTGAGGAATAGGAAGGTGTAAAACACAGAAGTTGCAGCTCAAAAAATACAATTCAAAATTGTACCCAAATGTAATGGGGAAAATTCTATAGTAATGCTGTTTTTTCTCCTTTTCCTGTCACTTTTACTCATTGCTTTGAGTAATGCAAGAATTGAATGTTTCCAGAAGTTCTCTACTTCCTAATTATTGAGCTATTCTGATTAAAGCTCTACTGAAACAGTATTAGCACCTCTTTGATATTATTATAATAGGCTTATGTAAAAATAAATATATCAGTCATATTTAATCATAATTCTAACTAAAGGTTTCTAATAATTACAATTACCATTGTAATTTTATGTGACAAACACCGCTGTAGTTCTACTTTGTGTTCCTGAAATGTGATTCAACTATAATAACTGAGGCCTGAAGTTGTGTCAGAGAAGGTTTGGGTTAGATATTAGAAAAAGGTTCTTCACCCAGAGGGTGGTTGGGTGCTGGAACAGGCTCTCTAGGGAAGTCACAGCACCAAGCCTGACAGAGTTCAAGAAGCGTTTGGACAATACTCTTGGGCACATGGTGTGACTCTTGGGAACGGTCTGGTGCAGGGACAAGAGCTGGACTGAATAATCCTTGTGAATCCTTTCCAACTCATCATATTCTACGATTCTGTAGTAGACGGCTTTCAGGTATACCTGGTCAGTAATCCTCTGTCCAAAATATCACCCATCTACAGGGAAAAACCATTTAAGAGCTAAATGTTTTCTCACTGTTTCTGAGATTTAGCAGTCATAGTTTTGGGGGGTGTGCTCTGCTGTAAGTGTCTGATGCTCTGAATCCTCAGGCTACCAGCAAACACAAGACTTATGCACTTAAGTGCTCTACCTGGAGTGCCTGCTTGAGAGTATGATTACTCTGTCTTGGCTAGCTTTGTTCACAGCAAGCATACAGGATGAAATAACTGTATGCTTATGCATTTCTTACTCCAGGGAGAACTAATCTTACTAGATTTGCCTTATTTTTCTCCTATATCAAGGTGAGTGTTTTCAAAGCTGGAGTTGGTAAAGTTAATAAAATTAGTACAGTACGTTATAACACATTTTGTGATAAGAGGCATGAAAAATAAAAGATCTTGAAGTTAGAATTATAGCACAGCATTTTGAATAGTTAGAAAACTGTCAGTAGCTTGTACACAAACAAGTCAAACTCTGGCATGAAAATCATGAAAACAGAATGGTTTTAATGAGATATGAAGATCTCAGGACATTACAAAGTAGTTAATATAAAATACTGACAGCCTGGTTTTGGGTTTTCTTTTAGTTATAGAAGCATTTTTCCAAGTGACAGAACTGAGCACTCTTTAGGAGTTGACCTTTGTCCGTAAGTATAGCACTCTGAAAAAGTCACAAATGTTAATTTACACTTCTAGTTCTAATGCTTGTAATATATATGTATGTATTACATATATACATACTCGACACAGAAATTGTTTAAATATGGGGAATGTACATCTTTGTGGCAGTAATAACTTGGCACTGATAACTTGACATCGTTTTAAGAAAATTGTGGGTTTTTGACAGCCACGGGCAGCACTTACTACTGCTGCTTTCTGGCAAAAGAAAAGTATGGAAAGTAAGTAGTAAAGTACATTCACAATGTGCAGAAAAACTAACTACTTTTAGGTACCTGTTTTCTGATCGAAAGATGACATTACCTCTTTTTTTTCTCTCTTTTAACAGAAAGAACTTCCTTTAGAGTTTGAGGTGACCATAATGAAAACCAAAAGGGAGGGTAAAGCTCATATTCCTTGTAATTACTTTCCACCATAAATGCACTAACAAGTTCAATGATTTGCAATTCATGGCTCAAAAGAAGAGAGGAAATACAAAGCACTTCATCTTGTGCCTCAACATGAACTACAAGAAGGACAGAAAGCAGATTTTTAAACATAAAATTAACTCTTTTAGTTGCACTATTGTTGGAATACTTAAAGAAAACCAATCTAGTTTTAGGACTGAGTGGCACTAGTATTTTAATTGTACTGCTTAGCTCTGGATCCATTGGTGCTGTATTTTGTATAGAGCACTGAGGCAGATAGCTGTAATCAGTGCTTGATTTCCATGTTATCCCCTAGGTGTATAGAAAACAATGCATTCAATACTATTGACATCTGCTTGATCACCTTCCTGAGCTAAATCATAGATAGGTTGTTCTACTTTTCCCTTGCCTCCAGCACCTCCTGAAGTGCCATTTAGTGATAATTTCACCAGATATATTTCCTGTAAATCTCTTTTGCTACTCCCCTACTGTTCTAAACAACTTCACCTCTACAGATGGCTCCATACTGTAGAAAAAATTGAAAAGGCAGACTAAACCAAAAAGCATAATAAAAGGATACCCAGTATCATTAGAAGAACTAGAGAATCTTGATTTTTAAATTGTGCTTTGGGCTTGTTTATTTTCTTTGGCTGTGTGGCTGAGATGGTTGGTCTGATAAAACTTGTTACTTCTGGTCATTTTTTATAAATTAACTAGCTCTAGAGAACAGACTATATTTCCTATGCAACCTTGTCACACAACATACAATGACAAGTAAGGTAAATCATAGATAAATTACTCTTTGTTGCCTTTTTTTTTAAGAAAAACTTAGGTTCTGCAGCTATTTATTTTTAAAAATTCTAAGCTATTGCTAATAAAATACATTAGCAGTGTTCTGTGAGAAATTGATATTTTTATTTCTCTGTAATAGCCTGTAATAATTTCAAGAAGGGATTCTTTTTACAGTATTGCTTTCAAAAAAAACCCTTGTATTTTTCAGACCTTGGTAGCAGATGCGATTATACGAAGAGGCTGTTCCTTGCTGCTTTCATTATTCTTAGTTTGTCTTTACTCTTACAAATTACCTCCTAATACAAGAGTTCCATTCACCTTTTTAAATGATTAATGTGGTGTCAGATGTTCTATTTACTGTTTGGCGGTTTTTTAATGTAAGTATTTATTAGCAATTGGCTTTGGTGCCTTCCTTCTATTGTTTCTGTATGATAGCCTAAAGAAAAAATTCTTAACAAGAAATGATTCATAGTATTTAAAAGAAAATGAGGTTTCTAGTCTTATAAAAAAAATATATTTACTGGCTTCCTTATCCCATCCAGTCTTCCTTTCCTCTGTAAGTTGGTCAAGACTTGTAAATTTTGGCTCCACTGGAGTGCGGATATGTCATAAGGCAAGATGTCATTGCTCTTTCTCTGACAGCGGTTCCAGGCAGCATAAGCTGAGGGAGTTTAAAAGGCGAGCACTTTGTTAACTTCACTTTCTGCTGGGTGATACTTCTTCATAGCTGAGGATTTTGCCCCGTGCTTTACAGTACAAGGTTTTCAGAAACACAGTAGTGTTTTTTATTTATAAACTCAAATTTTGGAAAATGAACACATGAAATGCCGGTTACATTCCTGTCCAAGAAAACCATAAAATAAAGATGAATTGAGCGTATTGAGAATACTGTCTTTTGTTAAAGACATGTTTACAAGACTTATGACTTTTTTTGTTTATTTCTATTCTCTTTGCAGTCATTGTCTGGAATTTTTCAAGGATTTAGACATGAAAGAAGTAATAGGAGAAGACTGGAAGTAGCTGTGATGGACTGAGATGTTATTAATGTCTTAAACATTGTCAAAATCATAGAAAGCCTTTTTGTCAAGCTGCAAGGAAGCAACTGCCTGTCTGCAACCACTGAAATCCCCCCCTCTTCCTCAATATGCTTCTTGACTGGAATTTGGACTGTGAAGGGAAGCTTGAGATAAGACTATTGTCTAATCATTTCAGGTCTGAGGAGAAGTAAACAAGGCTCAGGGAATCTGACCTAGCTGAGCTCAGTGGGTGGCAGAGGAGAACGGTTCCGGGAGTGTGATGGCAAAATCTCTCCACACGAAGCAGAGTAAACTGCCCCCCTCCCCCCCCAGGATGACCACGTACATATGGGGCATTCACATGAGAGGCAGCTGAGAAGGGGTCATAAACAATCAAAGACCCCCAAGGTATCCCTCTCACCACCAAGACCAGAAAAATGGGACCTATGGGATGCTGCCCAATTACATGGAGTAGTAATACATTTTCTATTTTTCTCTCTCTCACTCTCTTCTTGCCCTCACCACCCTTTTTCTATTTCTTTCTATCTCTCTCTGTCTCAGATTTACTGTTAAATACACCATTCTGAGCAGAGTTTTTTAATATCAGATTAGTAAGGCTTTCCTTGACACCAAAGTCATCAATCAGTCTTAAAATCAACAGTAAAGTATGTGGCTCAGTTGATTCTAAATGAATGAACAGCTCATGTTTCAATTCATCTGGGTATGGAGTTTTTCATCTGTGCAAGAGATAAATCTATTGCTACCAATGACAGTGAAAAAATATGCTAAAATTACAGCTGTGTTTTCATGAGAGCTCTAAAGCCTGATAAGGCCAATACCTGGCTTGAAATCATTTGGATTCTGGTAGTTGCTGCATTTCTGCTGTATTTTCACTGCTACTTTTTTGTTTCTTGACTGCTGAATGACATTCTTATATGCCTAATTTTTCGATCAAAATCAGCAGAAAAAATGCCTCCTTCAGGAACAGAGAGAAATGTAGCTTTCATGGATTTTGGTGTCCCAGTACTTGCACTGCAAGTATAACACTACCCTTTCCTCTATGTTCCTATACTTGACGTTTTCCCTAGCCTGGTGCCAAAGTGAGAACTTCATCTGTATTACAGACATCTCGGCTTCAAATTCAGTGTGGAGTTTCTAGTGATACTTAGGTACAGAGGATAGATTTAGAAAAGGTTTTATGAATTTCAGGAAAAGGTTCTGGAACACATAATGTTCAGTATAAAATCTTTTGATAGACTTGAGTGCCTACAAATGATGGTTTGTCCTGTTGTAGCAGGATAGCCCACCCTGATAAGGCCTAGAATCTGATCAGAGAATGCATGCAATGCAAACCATCACTCAAGCTATCATGCAAGTTCAACTGCTGGTACCAGGTGCTGTCTTGGTATTGAATTATGCTAAAACCAGCCTGGTTCACCAGATTTCGAATCCTGCTTTTCTGAAGCAGAATTTGACAGATAAGCTAGTCTGCTTGCCTGTAATCTGTGACTACCAGAGTATATAGTTATATAGTCTGGCACAACTATAAAAGCCTGGTCCACCTTTCATTTGGCAGACTCTTCCACACGCTTCCTTGAAGTGTGGAGCTTCTCCCTGAAGCAGGGATGCCTCTTCCTGGTTACTCCCTAGGGGTTAAAAGATCTTTGTGCTATCTCATCTCTACCAATCTCTACTTAATGATTGTTTCTTTTGTTAGCTTTGATACAATTGGTTTAATATAATTGCTTTGTTACAGCTTTGTTACTTTATGTTATATGATACCCTAATAGGAGATTTTTAGCTTTTATATTGTGTAGTGTATAATTCTGATTATGGTCTTTCTTCTGTTCGCTTGTCTGTTCATTTGTGATAATAGATAATTCATTTTATATAAATATATCCATTTTGCCATTATTAAAAACTTGCAGAACAAACTGTTTTAATCACACCTCTATAATTCCTTAAATTTAAACTGTTGACACACTCCAAGGCTAAGAGAGGTTTCAGGCACACCTCAGCCCGTCTTCGAGAAGGACTTTAGAAAGTAAGGGAGTCCTTTTTGCACCTCGTGATCAGCAGCAGGGTTTTTTTTTTAAATAAGTTTGTCTAAACCTTCCACTCTCCCTTGACATACATCACCTTAAGGATATAGCAAAGAAGTCTGAGAATTTTTTTGCATGCCACTTAGATTTGGAAATACTGTACATGTATGTAGCTATATTTTCTACATGTTGGCATGAATAGTTTAAACACTAGTAAATACTGTTAAATGGTAATATCTTATCTGTAAACTCTCACAGGATTTACAAATTACATGTTCCTTTTATTTTGTCTAGCATAGCAAGTACTGCTTGATTTTGGCTGCTGACTTAGTCCTATATAAATTAACTTAGAAAATGGGAAGCTTGCCCACTAAGCAGATTCTACATCTGAAACATAGGTGACTTTAAAATTAAACTACTTAGTTCAGTGAGAGGATTCAGACCAAGACATGTTTCTCGGATCTTTAATAGAAAAAGGACACCCTGCATCCTGTTGAAATGTCATCATCACATCTGATCACATCATTTTGTCCTTTCTCTGTGCATATCCAAGAAGACTGACTTTGTTGAACTATTGTTCAGGTAGCTGAAGATAACTTTTAGCTCCCACAGATTTTTTTAAATGTTGTCATTCTCAGTTTGCCTTTTGTGAATCTCGTAAGTAAGCACCTTCTACTTAGATAATATTGACAGACAAAAGTGTAAATTGGGTAGTAATTTGGGTTGTAACTCAGAGGCTGAAATGCTTCCAGGCCTTTCTTGTTTATTTAGATCATAAGTGGTTCTAAAAATCTTCTGTGTAGCTTTAGATATCAAAATGCCTGTGAAGCTTTCCACAAGACTGGACTTTCTAAGTCATATTATTGAAACTATTCTCTGTTTTCTTCTGAGCTTGTATGCAGTAATAACCGCAGTCTGATGGTCATATTTTCTTTGCTGTCTTTCAGTTTAGCTGTAAGTGAGAAGAAAAGAAGATGGAAATATTCCACTTTTGGGAAGAACATGTCAGTGTGATTAATATCTGAGATAGAATGTTAGTTGAGTGGTTTTGTTTGGCTATAGATTCCCTCTTTGTTCCTTCAGTTTTATAGAACTCTACTCTCAGATTTAAGGATATTACATTTTTTCTCTTGCAGACTTTAGGATGTCAGTGCGCACAGCCATCCAATTGCTTTTGCTCTCTTTCCGGTAGACAATAAAGATTCCTTGCTATAAAGTGCCATCTGTTGGAAATTCTAAGTATTGTACATTCAACTGTTTGGCTTCTTTTCTACCCTCAATCCAGGTACAGTTTTCTAAAGAAATACATCAATCTGAAATATTGAATAATCCAATAAAAGTTGATTAAACTGAAGTAGCTGGATTCTTTATCCAGCTATTTCAGAGGAACCACATATTCACAGCAGCATAGAGATCTTGATCCACCCCATCTCTCCTTTTTGCAACTTTTTAAAGAGGATAATTACTAATGCAAAAATTCAACGGATCTCTCTCTCCCTTTCCTTACAAGATTGATTCCATGAAATCATTTAATGAGATACAACTGTTAAGTGAAGCACAACTGACTAACTTAAAATTTAAGGACATCATCTACTATTAACAAAGTGTTTTAAAGCATGTTTTACTGGCATGGCCACAGCTAGAATTTAGAACAGAGCTTTGCTAAGCTGTTCTGTGAACATGTAATCTTTTGTTGGATTGCTGCAGAAGAGTTATGTATAATCTCTCCTTTGGGGTAGGAGTAGTGGGGAAGAAGGGGCTAAAGAACAGGAGTTGCACATGAAAAATATCTATAAAATATAATGTCAAAGGCAATAGATGCTTAAAAACATTAGATTCTTACAGAAATTTAAGCAGCAGGCAGACATTATACTCCTTTTTCTCCTACTGAACAAGGATTTCTGAGAAAGCTATATCTGACTAATTCTAGAAGGTAAAAATTCATATAGAAAAGGGAAAGGTTTAGATTTTTTTTGTTCTTGAAACTCTATAGCATGAGCATATGTCTGCAAGTCGTGAAAAAATTCTGGCCTTATTTACTTTATAAGCTTTGCCACTAACTTTTGTGTGGAGGGAGGCAAGCCAGAAGGAAAGGGAGATGGTGGCTATTAAACCGCTTCATTCAAATGTAAGTAATCTACTGTGTGTTTAGATGTATAATGTTCTCTTGTCAGTATATCTGGTTTTTACCTGTGGCAGGAAGCTTACAGCTTTTCTTGAAGCCTGCAGAAATAGCCAATGCTAAATGACACATGACTGGAGACAGCACAGCTCCAGTGCAGTGTCTTTCAGTTCCAAGTCATATCCTCAGGTTGCCTTGGTTGAATTTACCCCAAGAAGATAACAGGTTAAATTTTATTCATGTATAGATAGATATGGATATAAATCATCTATTTTGATGTGCATACCTAGGACCTTGTTCTTTGGCTGCCCACTCAAGTTTTAAAAACATGACACTTCATCAGAGCCACCCACTTGTTTGCAGCAGTAGAAAGCAAAGACCAAATGAAATCTGAAAGTTTTGGCTCCTTGCCATTACAAATACTAAGATCAGCATGCAAGAACAACTAAGTAGATAAGACACCATGTGCCTCTCTCATGGCAACTTTAATATTCGGATATCAAAATAGCAGCAAAAATCACTGACAGGCAATCACCCAGAGCAGTGATGAAACCATTTTCCACTTTCATACTATACCACTTAGAAATTAAGATCTGTTTCAAAGTTTTATAGGTGCTGGAAAAGTTGAAAACACAGCTGATGCCCTTCTAATGCTGCCTGTCTAGGCTACATTTCTGTAGCCTAGAAGATGAAGACAACTATTCCCTGATACCAAATTTCCAAAGAACATTCAAGATGAAAGTAGAAGCCTGGCAAAAAAAAATCTGCAATTTTAGTACAGCAAGAAAATACAGTGACCTTGTGCGAGGTCTTCATTTCCATAATGGGGACGGCTGAAACACTGCAGTTATGCTGTCATAGGTTTACTTGTTCTAAAAATCCAAGCAGAAATTTTCCTTTCCCCTCTCCCACTATGAAAGAAGGAGGTTGAACGAGGAGGGGGAAGGGTAATTGACTATACAAAAAAACTAGCTCGCAGACCTGCATTCCCGGCTAATAGCCCATCTAAAAACTGCAGGGAGGGGGGAGGAGTTTTTCTGCTTCTCTCCTTATAAAGAGAGAACACTTCACTTTGTGCCTTAACGGGGGCAAGGTGTGTTGGCAAAGCTCTGAGGCCGTTTTGCTCTCTAGAATGGGCTAAAACCCTGATTGTTGGATTGAACATTGACACAGATTCTGCCTAACCCTAACCCTAACCCTAACCCTAACCCTAACACCTAACCCTAACCCTAATCCTAACCGTAACCCTAACCCTGATCCTAACCCTAACCCTAACGCCGAACCCATAACCCCTAGCCCTTATACTAAGCCTAACCCTGTCCCTTAACCTAACACCTAACCCTAACCGTAATCCTAAACCTAAACCTAACCCTAACCCTAACCCGAACCCTAACCCTAACCTGAACCCTAACCCTAAACTTAGCCCTAACCCTAACCCTAGTATCTTGCAGTCTCTTTTTTATGGTTAGGGTTAAGGGAACTATCTTTGCCCATAGCTTGCAGTCTCTCTTTTAAGGTTAGGGTTAGGGAAAAGGGTTTGCGCATAGCTTGCAGTCTCTCTTTTAAGCTTAGGGAACAGGCTTTGGGCATAGCTTGCAGTTGCTCTGTGGACCAATCAGCGCTGACTCTGCCCAGTAGGCGGAGCCAGTGACACGGACAAATCAGAGCTGACTCCGCCTCTTGACTGTGCTCAGTGGGCGGGGCCAGTGCTCTATATAACCAGAGTACATACCGGACGGTGGTGCGTGTTCTACCAGACATGCAACAGAATAGCAACAGCAAAAGCAGACACTCAAGAGAAAAAGCAAAAGATTCTGAGAGCGGTGGGCAGTGAATCAGGGTTATAGCCTGAAAGTGGCTTATTGTGCACCGCTGCATGTCTGGAATGGGCTAAAACCATGATTTTTGGATCGAACATTGACACACATTCTGCCTAACCCTAACCCTAACCCCTAAACCCTAGCCCTACCCCTAACCCTAACCTGTACCCTAACCCTTTACCGTACCCCTAACCCTTGATAACCCTAACCCTATTCATGACCCTAAACCTGACCCTAACCATTATCCTAACTGTAAACCTAATCCTAACCCTAAACCCTAACCCTAACCCTAAGCCTAACCCTAAACCCCAACCCTAATCCTAACCCTAACCCTGAGTCTAACCATTACCCTAACCCTAACCCTAATACTTACCCTCAACCCTAACCCTAACTGTAACCCTAACCCTAAACCCAAACTCTAATCCTAACCCTAACCCTGACCCTAACCCTAAAACGTGGTAACCCTAACCCTAAACCTAACCCTAACCCTAAGACTAACCCTAACCCGAACCCTAACCTGAAACCTAACCCTAACCCTAAACCTAACCCTAACCCTAAGACTAACCCTAACCCGAACCCTAACCTGAAACCTAACCCTAACCCTAAACCTAA